GGCCAGAGCTGGGTTCGAACCCATCACCCTTGGTATATGGGGCCTGTGCCCTACTCACTGAGCCACAGGCACTGCCCAAAGTTAGCAACTCTTAATATGTACAAGTCAGAGGGGGAAAATAAAACTGAAGTAGACTAAAGCCAACAGGGAAAAGGAAAATCAAGAAAACCAGTTGTTTTAGAGGCTTGGAGAAGAGAATGTTTCAAAAATGTGGATGTGGCCAAGTGTGTCAAATCCTGCTCAAAGGCAAATATGAGAACTTATCTTTTGGATTTGTCAGGTTGCAGGTTCAGACAATTCTTTGCAGAAATTTTTCTATAAAGAGGAGCACAAACATAGTGGATGGAGGGAACACAGGCCAAAAACTTTTTTGTTTTGTCCTCTTTCAAGACACCTGATACTACAGCTGTTGGTGTCTATTAGTATACTGGTAGCCTGGTGTAGGTAAACATGTAAAACAGATACAAGAGGGAGACACTAACAGAATCAAGTTCCTGAATGCAGTAAGCAAAAATATGACTAGAGGGAATATTCTTCCATGAATGTCAGGAGTGAAGGCAATATTATAGGTTCAGACACACGTAGATGGATTTGGTGGAGGGAAAATAAGGTTGTATCTATTTTCATACTTTTAATATCTAAGTCTCAGTTTTTCTGCCAGTAAAATAGGAAATATCTACCTCATAAGACCTTTGTGAGGATTAAATGATCAAAGAGGAAGCACTCAATATTAACCTAATGGGGCCGCCTGTAATCCTAGCACTCTGGAAGGCCAAGGCAGGAGGATGCCTTAAGTCCAGGAATTTGAAATCAACTGAGCAAGAAGAGCAAGACCCTGTCTCTTAGTAAAAAAAAAAAAAAAATGGGCTCAGCACCTGTGGCCAAGTGGCTAAGGTGCCAGCCACGTACACCCAACGTGGCGGGTTCGAATCCAGCCCGGGCCCACCAAACAACGACGGCTGCAACCAAAAAATAGCCAGGCGTTGTGGCGGGCACCTGTGGTCCCAACTACTTGGGAGGCTGAGGCAGAAGACTCGCTTGAGCCCAGGAGTTGAGGTTGCTGTGAGCTGTGATGTCACAGCACTTTACCCAAGGCGATAGCTTGAGGCTCCTGTCTCAAAAAAAAAAAAAAAAAAAGTTGAAAAATTAGCCAGGCACAGTGGCACATGCCTGTAGTCCCAGCTACTTAGGAAGCTGAGGCAGGATTGCTTGAGCACAGCAGTTTGAGGTTACAATGAGCTACAATGATACAACAGCACTCTACCTCAAGCAACAGAGTGAGATCTTGAGAAAGAAAAAGAGAGGAAGAGAAGAAGGAAGGGGAAAGGAAAGTAGGGGAGGCGAGAAGAGGGGAGGGAAAGAAAGAAAGGAAAGGGGAGGGAAGAAAAAAAAGAAAAAATGTAAACTAATGGGAAACTATTTAGACTCCTTTAATTCTCCAATTTATCCATCTCTCATTTTGCATTTAGTAAAACACAATTAAAAATAATATAGGATGGCGCTGTGGCTCTAGGAGTAGGGCGCTGGCCCCATATACCAGAGGTGGTGGGTTCAAACCTGGCCCTGGCCAGAAATTGCACACACACAAAAAAATAACTATAGTTGTAACAGAATGAGGTTACATATATCACAGTTATTGAGCAGGGTTTCCTCCATCATTTAAAACTGAGAGCTAAATGAAGTATAGTCACTAATGTGACAAAAATGGGGGTGTTAGAAAAAGTTCAAGGAAGTTTAGAAAGTTAAAAAAAAATCCTCTATGACCACTAGGCAAGGGCCAGATCATGAAATGGTGTGGGAACATGCGTCCTAAGTGATTTCCTAAAACCTCGTGTGGGTCAGAATAGAGCTCATTGGGCCTTATGACATAAACATTATCTAAAGTGGATATTTCGTCCTTTTCCCCCACAAACTCATTATCTGACATTATTTTATTATTTCAAATTAATATGAGGGTACAAATTTTTAGGTTACATTGTTCTCACTTCCAAGGTAAAGTTCAAGTTGTAGGCACTAGCGACATACACCTGAGCTGGCAGGTTCAAATCCAGCCCGGACCTGCCAAACAACAATGACGGCTACAACCAAAAAATAGCCGGTGTTGTGGCAGGTGCCTGTAGTCTCAGCTACTTGGGAGGCAGAAGCAGGAGTATCGCTTAGGCCCAGGAGTTGGAGGTTGCTGTGAGCTGTGATGCCACGGTACTCTACCCAGAGCGACAGCTTGAGGCTCTGTCTCAAAAAAAAAAGTTCAAGTTGTAGAAGAGCCCTTCACCCAAGGGGTGTGTGCTGAATACCTTGCTTTGTGCTGAAGCTGACTCAAGTCCAGCTGAGACATGAAAACAACTCATGGACTTTGATTAGACCACAAAGTATAAACCAAGGAGGGTAAACCGGTTTCACCTTCATTACCTTCTCTAGTAACATATGCATAAGTGCTGAGTAAATGATTCTCAGGCTTGCTCAAGCTCAGGAGTAAAGTATTGGTGCCAATTGTCCACATTTGCCATAGACCAGTGTTTTTCAACCTTTTTAATCTTACAGCACACTTGAACCTATAGTTAAACTTCCATGGCACACTTAAATTATGTTGACAAAAAAAAAAAGAGTAAAATAAAAGAATATACCTATTAAGTTTTGAATTTCTTTAAAAAATAATTTAATTAATCTTTTACAATTTTTTGTGGCACACTTAAAATCCTCTCCACACATGGGTTGAAAATCACTGCCATAGACATTGAGAGCACTTAGGATATGGCTCCCACCAGCACATGAGCTACTACTCTTTTGGAATCCCTGAGTTAAGATCATTCACCATGTCATCAGCCTAGATCTCACTGCAACCTCAAACTCCTAGGTTCAAGTGATCCTTCTGCCTCAGCCTCTCAAGTAGCTGAGACTACAGATGCCAACAATTCCAGGCTAATTTTTCTCTATTTAATAGATACAGGTTCTCACTACATTGCTCAGGCTGGTCTCAAACTCCTGAGCTGAAAGGATCCTTCTGCCTCAGCTTCCCAGAGTGCTAGGATTACAAGTGTGAGCCACCATGCATGGCTCCTTAAGGTTTTTTTTTAAGACTGGCATATAAATATTAGCAGAGTAAGAATTTCCTGACCACTCACAAAACAAACAGAACCAGCTGGAATAAAAAAAATTCAATTTTTCTTTTCTTACTAAAGAATCTTTGATTTTCAAAATGGTACAAATCTTTAAAATTATAAAAAAGAGAAAAGTGGGAACCAAAGGAAAATAAAAAGTAACCCTCAAGATTTCCTGAAAACAGGTGTATAAAAAGGGAGTCAGGTGGCAGGTTATATGTGTAGAATCTTATTTATCTAAGAATACATCACAGGACTAGAAAGTTTCAAATACCTTCAGTGTAACATGAAGGGAAAAAATGTTCCTAAACAAAGATACACAAGCTTTCCAAAAAAGGGACTGTTTCTATATATTATAATATTTCTATAGTACAAAATACTGTCAGCACAGTCATTTTCACCATTATCATTAGGACAGTGACTGACTGGACCTAACACTGTACTTTTTTCTGTACTAAACTTGACTCATTTAATACAGCAACTTTGTTTCTTTTTAAGATAGCCAATGTTACAAATGTCTAAAAAGTAATACAAGCTGTCCTCACTGATTATTTTAACAAACTTGTTAGGGGTCTACTTATACATAAAAACTATTCAAAAGCCAAACATAATTAATCTTAATTGGAGGAATATGCACTTAAACAAGTTTTTTTGCTATAGGAGCATTCTCCTTAGCTAAGATTGTGGACTCACTTTTGAATATGCAAAAAACACTTCACAAATAAGACCACAAAAAGGCTGATCAGATAGCATCTTTTAAATTGCCATTTTTAACATCAGTGGTTTTAAGACTGCCTCAAAGCTTTTAGCTTTAGAAAATTTTAACTCACTCTCATGCTCGTCTCTCCCAACACACTGGGCGCAAATTGTTCCTTGATTTTATTAGTTATGAAAAGTAAAGTTTGTTCAATTGTGAATCGCTAAATATCAAATCCATACCAACTAATCATATTAAGGAGTCAATTTTTTGCCTGTTAAAAAAATAATAATAATAATCACGTAGTGCAGCACTTGGGGCTCAAAGGGGTAGGGCACCGGCCCCATATACCAGAGGTGGCCAATAATAATAATCACATAGACCGGCCTAAGATGGCTGGTTAGCCATCTGCTAAATGTGCTGAAATGCAGATTACTGCGTACTACTCCTACAAAATTGCATTTTGAGGGGAGGAGCTCGGAGATGTATCTGAACACGCTCCCCAGAAATTCTGAACCAGGACGCCAGAACAATCTACTATACAACTTAACAACCTACTATACAACTTAACTTCTACTATACAACTTAACATTTTGGTAGGGTTACGGAGAGTGGCAGGTTCGAACACAGCCCCGGCCAAACTGCAACAAAAAATAGCCGGGCGTTGTGGCGGGCACCTGTAGTCCCAGTTACTTGGGAGGCTGAAGCAAGAGAATCGCCTAAACTAAGGAGTTGGAAGTTGCTGTGAGCTGTGACACCACCATCACTCTAACGAGGGCGACAAAGTGAGACTCTGCCTCTAAAATTCGGGCCGAGGGAAAAATTTTCCAATTCTCCAATCTACACCATCCAGTGAGGGCAGCGCAGCCAAAGAGGCGACACAAGCTGGGCGCCCCAAGGCTTTCCAGGAAACGCGAGGAGCCCTTTCTTCTGAGGGTAAAGAACCTGAACAGCAGGGCCCAGGGACACTGGACAGACTCAACCCTAACTGTGCAAAGAACCACGCTCTCTCACTCCTCTCGGGGCTTCCTCAGAGCTCCGGCAGGCAGCCTCAACCCAGAGCCCTTTGTGGGTCAGCTGGCCCGAGGCCGCCGGCCAAGCAGAGGAGGGGCCGGCGGGTGGGTCACAAACCCCGCGGCGCGTGCGCAGCAAGGCGCCGAGCTCGCCGCCAAGGCCGTTTCCTGACTTTCGGAGGAAGTGGCGTTGTGTCACTTCCGGCCTTCCTCTAGCTGCCATCTTGCGTCTCCGCGTGTGTGCGCTTAAACTCAGCTGGTCTACCCGAGACCCCCTGAGCACCAACCCTAGTCCCCCGCGCGGCCCCCTTTACGCTCCGACAAGGTACAAAAAGACTGTGGACGCCGGCGTGGGAGGAGGACGGGAGCGGGGGCGGGAAGTTCCCGGAAGGAGCGAGACAGGGAGGGACAGGGCTGAGGAGAGGAAGGCGATGCGACGGACGGGCGCACCCGCTCAGGCTGACTCTCGGGGGCGAGGTCGAGCCAGGGGCGGCTGCTCTGGGGGCGAGGCGACGCTGTCTCTTCCTCCATCTCCCGGCGGAACCCGAGGACAGGAGCCTCAGGTACCGCGAGGCTTGCGGAGAGTGGCCGGGCCGGGCAGGCCCTGGCTAGGCCGAGACTAGGCCAGGGCCAGGGGTGGGGGGTGCTGGCCGGGGGTGGGTTAGAGCCCTTGTTTCGGGGCCTGCAGAGAGCGGGGAGCTGTGGGGAAGTGGCGGGAGAAGTGGGTGCTCTTTGGGCTCCCTCAAAACTGAAACTTGGAGCTTTGCGGGGCGGGTTTGGGATCCAGGTTTCGGCCTGTGTAGGACATTTATTCTCCTGCTGGTGTCTTGGGAAATAACGAGTGTAATGCTAGAGTGAGCTAGACCTTTCCTTGCTGAGGATTTCCTCTCTTTATAGATGAAAGAAACTATCATGAACCAAGAGAAACTCGCCAAACTGCAGGCACAAGTGCGCATTGGTGGGAAAGTAAGTTTTAATAGTTGGGGGCTTTTAAAATCAAGGGTTTTTAAAAATATATTCCTTTTCTGTTTCTGATGTTGGTTTTGTCACTTTGCATACCGAGGGAAATTGATAGGGCTGGCAAATAATGGGTAGGGGGCAGGCGGGGAGGCTTCGATACACTAGAGCAGGAGACCTGCAAGCTGTTTATTAAAATGGAAAGGGAAGCGAGTGAATCGGATAACACATGAACTGAAAACATTGCTTTTATGCAAATGTGTTTTCATTGTTACAGTGTATAAGTAGAACACTGTTTCCTAATTTAATTAGTAAGAAAAATGTGTCATTTCAGCTGGACTGTTATGCATGTTATACCTTTGACTTGTAGCTTAAGTTGTGTAAAGTTAGTGCCTGGTTTTTTTTTTTTAATTTAATTGAATTTGTTGGTAATTTTCTCCTGTTAGGCATTTGTCTCTCATAAATGAAGACCTTTTCTGTAATGCTTTCTGAACTAAAATCCATTTAGGGCAGTTGCATGTTTTCAGGGATATTTGATGACATATCTTCCTTATAGGTGTATTTTAGAGTTTTAAGAGCAGTGACTATTAGATTCGAAAATATTACCTAAGCAGCCATCTTTTTTCTGTTCTAACTTTATATTATGATAAAACTGAGGGAAAGAAAGCAATGATTTAAACACCGATTTAAATGATCGGTGTTTGGTTAATTGGTTTTTTCCTCGTGGATACGGATTCTCTTCTAGAGGATTCTTTTTTTGAGCCTGGTTTAAGATTGCTAAATATTTTACTTAAACCACTCAGGCAGAAGTTTACCACTATAGTTGTATTTTGTGTTGTTGGCACATTCCTAGTATTTAACAGGGTGTGGTGGCTTGTTGAAACAGATCGTGTTTTTACTTGGTAAAACTTGTAGAGCTTCCATAGTACGTGTTTATTACCTATTAGTTTTCTCCAGCTGTAAGCATTTACCAGTGGCTTCAAGTAGAGTCGGCTGTGAGATCGCCAAAAGTTGTTTTTAGTCTTATAATAATAAAATGCAGCTTTGTTACATTACTAAACTTTGCCAGCAGTGAATATCCTGATCTTCGGGACGGGGGGGGGGGGGCGCGATGATGATAGTCTTCAAGACCCATACCTATGTATTAATAACATTAGATGTTTATTGACCTTTTAAACAATTGTTGCTAGACTGTGCCTTTCCAGTGCCAGAAAAACTCAAAATAATTCTTTGTGGGTCAGTGTTTGGATGTTCTTCTATTGCTGGTTTTAACTACTCCTTTTCAGTGCACTTTTAGGAGGAATAATTTGAATGATGTACTTTTCTGTTACTCTGATTTATAAGGGTTTAACTTTTCAGAGAGACAAGAGTAAAGGAAAGCCTTGAGGCTTTCTAGGATATTTAAAGTTGATACAGGATTACTTTGTGTCCTAACATCTTAATACTTACTTAGTACAGGAAATATTTCATTGTAATATATAAATATTTTCAGCACCATTTAAGAAACATACTTGGGATCTGAAATTAGGTAGTTTTGCCTTAGAGAAAACTGTTAAATACTTTTAGATAAAGCTATAAAAGAACTTTATTTCAGTATCTAATCAGCATTGATAATAATTAAAAATGTCACTATATATGTGAAGTGTATAGAACCTAGAGAAGATAGGCTGTTTTTAGAATCTTAAGACTTCCTTCAAATTTCTTAGGAATCTTTGGAAACTGTATACGACCACTTCAAGATGACTTTTGTTCATAAGTTTTTTTGGGGGGGTGATAACTAGTTAAACATTTATTTCGGACTTTACTGTGTTGACTGCTAAGAATATAAAATTTAATAAGTTTAAAGTCCCTGGAGGAGCTTTAAACCTATCAGAGGCGATAAGTATCTTTAAAAAAAAAACAAAACTATTTTCTTGGTATAATATATGTAATGCAATAGGAATGTTTTCAAAATGTAGAGATGGGAATGATTTGGCATGGGTGGGGATTAGTTGCAGAGTTGTGGGAAGACACAGAAGAGGTAATGGCTTGAACAGTATTTTAAACGATGTGTACATGGATTAGGGAAGGAGGTGATGTAGTTTGGATATCCTTTCCCTGAGTGCCTTCATTGAGCCATATACTGTTTAGTGGTTTTATAGCCATAAACAGAATAGGTCTAGCCCTCAAGTAGCTTATATTCTTACAGTGAGAAGAGACAAATAATAAAATGTATTTTATCTCATAGCAACTCTTCTCACCCTTGTGTTGCAACCCACAAGAACTGTATTAAAGGGCCGCCGCATTAGGAAGGTCACTGTCTTATAGTAATAAGTGTTATGAAGAAAACTAAAACAGGATGAAAAGGTAATGAGTAAGGGAGTTGCTATTTTACACTGGATGGTTGAGAAAAACCATTCTGAATAGTGACATAAGAGTAGACATCTGCAGTGAGAGAGGGAACCATGCAAATGCTTGGGAAAGACGGGAACAGCTGTGCAGAGGCCCTAAAATCATAGCCGGCTTGGCCTGTTCAGAGACCAGTGAAGAGGTCTATTTGGCTGAAGATGAGTGTGTGGGTAGTGGGAGACAGTGGTCAAGAGTGATGTATGGCTCGGCGCCTATAGCTCAGCCGGCTAAGGCGCCAGCC